TCCCCTTCAAATTTCCAGAGTCACACACCATCATCTTGCCACTTTAGTAATCCTGTAGTATCACCAGTAATATCTTGTGATGTTGTTGGTCTGTGGACTAAATCTTTGCCTTTCACATCACAGTGTGTTTGTCTGTCACTTATTCTCACAGAAGAAATGTAGAAGGATTACATTTCTTCATGATTACAATTTCTTCATCTCATATTTTGGGTGCTGAAGTTAATTCAATGACATGAAAAGTCATATAGTAATAAGTACCTTGAAACCTGTTTATGCACAATTCAACTTTCATGCCCACATTTAGAGTCAATTAAAGACAGGGAACTCTTGAGATATGCTGGCACTAAGTATTCCTAAATTACAGGCCCAAGGGATCGCTTCACCCATACAGTCTTTCCTTAATATATACCCTGGATTCGTTACTGAGCCAAACTTGGGTCCACTCACCTGTGTGCAGTAAAGCCAATCTATTGACACCAGGTTGTGGTGAAGGGAGGTGCGGTGTTTATTGCAAGGCCAAGCAAGGAGTACCGGCAGCTAATTCTTCAAAGACCTCCCCAGTGGCTTTCAGGGAGGTCTCAGGGTGCCTGGTCAGCTTGTGGGCATCCTTCTGATTGGCTGGTCGTGAGGGAACTCTGGTATTTTGGGAGTCAACGTCATCAATCTTCTGATTCCACCTGCTCTGGGGTCTACATGCTTGTGGTCAACAGGCAGTTAGCTTCTTCCACCTAGTAGGGGTTTCAGTATCTGCAAAACAGCTCAAGGACATGGCTCAGGATATTATCTATAGACTGAGGAGGATCTAAAGGTCCTTGATTTTGTATTAGGCTAAGCTATTATTATTTTGTCTAGCTTGATGGTTTGTTTCTTCATATTCTCACTTCTCTGACTGATTAAATTTGCCCTTTGGAACTCAGGGAAGGCCTAACTGAGGATGTTTTTTCTATAAACCAGAGGCAGGCAGAGGCATGGTGAGGGTCTGTCTCAGAAAGGCCTCATAGGGTCCTGCTCAGTTACAGCTTTCATTTTACGAATTTAAATCCATTGTCACATTTGCCCAAGACTTTGCCACTTTGTTTTTCCTGCTGTAATTCTCTGTGTGGCAGGATACTGATAAGGTGTCTGGTAGGTCCATGGTTTAATTATTTGCATATGTCAAAACCTGAGTCTTAAATTTGGCTCTTGGGACACTATAAAAGTACAAAATAGTTGTGTCTATTTGCAACTTGGTCGCAAGTTAAAAGAAGACACAGACCATGTCACCTAATAGAGGTCTCCAGGGGCCGCTTTACCTACATCTCAATTTAGATGTCAATTGCTAACTCTTCTCAAGCTGACTGAAAAGAAAATGTATTTGTACATTATCAGCATTTTCTTATTTGGATTTAAAGTCCTAATGTAAGCATTCAAGATTTTTTTTTAATTCTAGAAAATATATAAAAATAAGTTAATGTACCATTTTATGAGCAGGTAAAAATTAATAGAAATTTTAATAAGCATCCATTTCTGACAGAACTTGAGATCAGTGTCTCAGTAAAGAAGACTCTGGTTGGTAATGAACTCTATTTCTGTTCTTATGCACATGGAGATTTAGTACCATCTCAACCACCAGAGGGCTCTCACAATATAAGAAAATATATTAAATATTTAAGAGAATAAATGAAAATAGAAGAAATTATTTGTGATATACCTTTTTTTTTAGTGTTTGATTAAAGTTAAATGTCTTAAACATATGGATTAGAAACAAAATTTCGAATCCAGATTTCCTTTTGGGGAAAGAAAAAAATTAGGAAGAACTGTTTTAAATCGACTATTCAAAAACTTAAAACAAATGTAATGAAGATTTTACTACCTGGGGGGGCCTAATCCTGAATCAAACGT